ACTTGCCAATTCCAACTTAAATATATACTGCTGATCCTGTTAATCACTTCTATGCCGTTATTTTAGCTCTTCATTCCAATGTGGACAATAACCTTCCAAATAAATGTGGTCTTGCTAATGGGGTTGCAGACAACTTCGAAAAAGTGAGTAAAGAAACCACAAATGAAGAAAAGCGTTTCAATTGTGATGTATGCAAAAAAACTTTAGTAATCAAAGCCAATTAGACGCTCACAAACTCAGACATAGTGGCGAAAAACCATTTGAGTGGGTTACTTTTGAAAATCAATTTTTTACAAAATTTGAACTGAATGCTCACAAACGTATCCACAGTGATGACAAACCGCACAAATGTGGACAATGCAAACAAGCTTTCAAACGTAAATATTCTTTGACTCTGCATATGCGTACTCATACGGGAGAAAAACCGTACACATGTGGTGAATGTAATAAGGGATTTATCGATTCATCAAATTTGAACAGACATTTCCGCGTACACACTGATGAAAGGCCATACCGATGTAATGCATGCAGAAGGAGGTTTAAGCAGCAATGGAATTTGAGAAGAAACATGCGTTGCCGTATTCTTTATGAATCATTTAAATGCAGTGTACGTGGAATGCATTTTTCAAATATGCTTGATTGGGGTTTCCACGAAGAGACGCATACTATTGAAACTTATAGTTGAAACTTATAAACCGATATACTTGGAAAGGTTTTGTTTAATATGGCGCCAACAAAGGTTGTTTTTCATCAAATTGTGGGAAATTGAATTGATTGATGGAGGTTTTACTACATTGGGACAAATGTTGAAGCCTGTTTACGTGCAACTAAAACATTTTGCATTATATTATATAGATGTGATATATTTTGAGGCACATATTCATGTCATTTAGTAACTTCATTATCCATCGTTATATAGATAACGTCTATATAACAATCGACGACATCACAGAATAAGATCGACTTAGTGACGGATGTTTCAGTGATTCACGTATGGGTTTTTTGTCCCAATTTGTATATTCAAACTCCGGGGGTGTGCGATAGACTTACCTCCAAGTGGTGCACCCTGGGCAACGTATACTCATACGACAAAAAAGTCTATTAACTGGCAGTTGACTTCTGACTTCAAAATACCATCACCCCATTGTATGTCATATTCGACTACTTCCACAGTACTCACCTCACCTTTTCCCACTTTTGTGTCTGTCTCTTTTACATTTTTGAAACTCTCTTCTGTCCTCCCTCTCCCTCTCGACTTTTTTCACTTTGATGTTTCTCCTCCTCTGTGAGGCCTGAAGTCGACTAAAGGGCTAATGATAACTTTCACAACTCCTTAATGTTAGTAAGAAATATTGTAATACTAGAGATAATAGCACCACAGGCTATATCGTTTGTTGTTGTATTTTCTATTCTCAAGCACAAATCGTAGAAAGGTCTTTTGATTGGGGAGATTAAAAGCATGACTAAATCTATATCTTACTAAATGCGGACTATGTGATCGTTTGGGATTCTCCAAGAATAAAATAAGTACGAATCAAAGCTAAACAAATACGATGATCATATTTTTCCAATCTAATATAAAACAATCAAGTTTTTTTTTGAAAATTGTTCTATAAATGATAGACATGTTTGTATGTATTTCAATTTAAAATGGCAATCAGTCAAAAAACGGACAGTGCACATCTAGATTAAACCAAAAAATATTAACTGAATATATATATATATATATATATATATATATAAGCATAGAAGCAAATTTAATTGAAATAACACACAAATGAATTGTAATTCGGTCTATTTATAGACAATTTTATCTCAACAGTGCTGCTTCCTTTTAGAAAACATGCAACTAGAAACGATGCTTCTTCTGTCACATCTCCTTAAACAGAATAAGAATAGTAATTTTAATGATCATCTCAATTTTACTACAAGCATTATAGTCACAATGTCATCATCTCAAGCAATTAGGCACTATAAACCTGGCTTTACGGGCTCGAACGCACAATTTGGGACAAAAGAAGCCACGTATGCTTGTTCTGTAAAATTGTTGAGAAATGAAAAGTTACCAAGCGTAATATTAACTTAATCTCTATTAGGCTTGGCAAGTAACTGTCTGAATAATAGGCAGGTAATCGTTACCAGACTTTTGAAACAGGGTCTCCCATACGCTACTTTACCTATCCAGCAAGATTAATTTTTAATATCGATGGTAATGGTATCAGGTAGCATAAAACATCAATCGCCTAAAAAAATAGAATTTAAGGCGTTCAGGCAATTAATTTTCTACACACTTTATTTACGGGAGCGGAAAAAAACATTGGTTCCGCTTTCCCTTTTTGTTTTTCGACAATTCTTGAACATGTTTAATCTTGTAATTAGGCACCATCTAGTGCAAAATTAGCATTTATTAGCAACAAGTATAAAATGACAAGATTGATCATCATTTGCCAAGATATGTGACTCAAAATTAAACACAGGCTTAGGCTTCTCTTATTTACATTATTTAATTGCTTCAGTGCACTTGTTTAGAGTGCAATAGGAGGCCCTATTTTTGTCAGTGCATTTATTTAAAATGCTTATCTTTAAAGGACTTATGTATCATAGAAGCAACCTACCTAAACATGTCTGAGTAAGTTCAATGCTTTCTTTATCCAATTCTCTTTATGCCAAAATTGAGTATTAAAGGGGGTTATAACAAAGGATAATTTCTTATAAAACTCACCAATTAAAATAAATTTTCTAATTTTCATACCCGAATACATCTATCTAAAAATCTGGATTCAGTATCATTTTAATTAGATTTGTTAACAAACGACGAGTTTTTTCATTTCAAAATGTAAGGTGGAGATTCAAATTCTGTTATATTCTCTCCATTATTAATTACATCAAGTGCGTCAGAGACGAGTTACTAAATTAAGATCATACGTTTAATAGACAAATAGAAATTCTACATGGATGCACGCATCTTTATTTGAGACAATAGTTTCTTGGTAAACGCGTATTTTTGTTAATATTCATTTCGGAATCAAGTAATTTTGTACACAAGCTCAGTTAATTAGTAAAAGATATGTTTACTTCGATTCATTGGTTTAAAATTCTGTCAGACAGGAAATGTTCTCGAAATTCCAGATCTACTTAGACAGAACAAAAAATAAATCTTACCACATTTTTTGGAAACTCTCTTAGTAATTTATATATATATATATATATATATATATATATATATACTTGAAATGAGTACGCGATTGCCATATCTATTGTTTTATATTATTTATATTCTGCATTCAAAAACAACGAACAAAGTGTTGATTTAATAATATGTATTTATTACCTTAAAGAGGGGGCTATCGTTGACGGGAATGTAATGACTCCTAAAAGAGATTCCACAAAACTTCAAAGTATGGAGCATTAGCAGTCAATTAAAAAAAAATTGAATTAGGCTTCAAAAATTATTTAAAAGTGAAATAATATTAATAAATCGTTGAGCAATTTAGGGTAAAGAAAGAAGTGAAAAAGAAGTAAATGGAGAGAATGACTGTGTCGTCTGTACCACAAAGAATTGCAAAAAAATATTAAACTTTAAACCATCATCTATATAATTTAATAGGTATTTTGGAAAATTTTATTTTTATTTATTTCAAATAGCAAGTGTCTAGATAATTACAATTAGCCCGTTTAGCTGGCTCCATGCTACATAAATATAGTATAAATAGAAGAATCATAATATGCTACGTCTGATTGGTAAATATTATTTTGAAAAATCGAATATACGATGTACTGGAGTAAAAATCTTAACCATATTCAATAAATTTGAGAACCGTTTTTAAAAAAGAGTTTAATGTGTCTTTCATGGTCATTAGATACATCATTATTGTTTACTGATCTAGTGTGACAAACCACACTAATACGCAATTCACACACACACATACATACACACACACTCACACACACACACACACACACATATATATATATATATATATTCTTTCTATTATTAATCACTATAAACGGTTAGCAGGCTTACATGTGTTTTATTCTATCCTATATCCATGTAAAACTGCTCCTTTCAATGCTAAACACCGATTATAAGTAATGAGTTTTAAGAAAACGAAGACACTAACTAGTGACAAAGTTATTAAGACATCAAATTAAATTAAAAATTAGGCAAAATTAAATATTTTTTATTATTATTAAGTTATAAGTATCAAAAAAAATTTAAAAATCAAAATGGATTTTTAGATTGCAAACAATGATTAAAAGTTGTTATGGATATATACGATTACTTTGACTTGACTCAAGATAGTACTGTTGATATTGCAGAAGATGTCATCAAGCATATTACAAAAATGGGATGTATTTCTGCAAATTATGGGCTCATTTTTGTTTCGTTATGGTCCGTTGTACAGAAATGCTTCAAACATAATTTTAACAAATGGATGTCTGGCTTTATTGAAGAAATCGAATTGAATTTAATCTGAAGTCTCAATTTACTTCCATAAAACCTTTGCAAAAGTTCATCTCCGTGTGTCCATTTGCGTGCATTTGAATTTAGATTTCGAAAGATTTAACTTCTGCTATCTTTGTTTCTGGATGGTTATCACATAAATAGTGTTGTTAAACTATCAAAATACAAAATCCTTACAACATATCTCAGCCCATTTACTTCAAAGTTCTGTTGATTTTCACAAGTATGCGCTCATTTGCATTAATTCCAATCATCTATATTTGAAAAACCCATTTCACATGCATTGCATTTGAAAGGTAAATTTCGATTTTGGCAAGACATATGTCCCTCCAAGTAGATTAGATACTTATAACGTATTCCGTATACTTTGCATCTGCAAGGTCTTTTCATCAGCAAGTGATTTTCCATATTTGTTTAGTTAAAAATCCTTTGTTGCATTCACTACATTTGTATGTTTTTCTCTCCCGTATGGGAACGCATATGAACATTCAAATTATATTTATATTTGAACACTTGTTTGCATTTTTCACATCCGAAGGGCCTTTCATCACTATGGGAGCGCAAATGTCTAGTCAAATGATGTGTATGCTTGAAAGCTTGCTTGCATATTTTACATTCAAAGGGCCTTTCTTCACTATGGGAGCGCAAATGTCTAGTCAAATAATTTTTATGCTTGAAAGCTTGCTTGCATATTTCACATTCGAAAGGCCTTTCTTCACTATGGGTACGCATATGTTGAGATAAATGCGACTGCCGTTTGAATTTTGTTCCACATATTCTGCATTCATGCGGTCTTTCATGAATGTGGACCAGTTTGTGAGAATTCAATTCAGACTTTGTAAAAAATTGATTTCCACAAGATTCACATTTGAATGGTTTTTCGCCATTATGTCTGCGTTTGTGAATGTCCAATTGACTTCGATATCTAAATTTTATTTTGCATACATCACACGAGAAGCGCTTTTCTTTATTTGCGGTTTCCTTACTCATTTTTGCGATGCTCTCACCAACTTCATCTAAAGGACCATGTTTAGTTGGAAGGGCATTGACTACAATAGAATTGGACTTGTTCAAGGGAGCTAAAAATGCAAAGAATATGTGGATAACAGGATCTTTTAACGTCCTATCCATAGTTAGTAGTTGTTTTATTTGCAGCAATATATGTAAGATTGAATATTAAATCATAGGCAAATCATGTTTGTATCAGATACCTCTCAGGGTTACGAATTCCACTTTTAAAAGCTTCATCACTTTTGAAGCGGAACAAATTCATCCAAGATATACGTACGCCAACGAGGTAATAACCGGATTATGATGAAAGTGATAAATAAAATTAGAATTTAGGTCGAGATCTGGCTCAGCAAATTTAGCAAAGAACCGTGATCATGAAAGCATTTCATCGAATAAATTTAAGAACAATTATATAGGAAACAAAGTACAACAACCAGTTCAAATATGACTCTTTCTTACTCTAAGCACTTTAAATTAAATTCACGTCAAGCAAATTTGCATGAATAATAGACAAATTCTTTCTAACTGTCGTTTAATATCGAGTTTTAATAGCTAAATATATTCGTAAACCTATGCCAAGCTAACACATTAACCATTCTTGAAATGTCCTAAAATATTCAGACTTGCAACTACATTTCTAAACTAATGTTTTCCAAAATTAGATGAGGAAATAATTTTTACTATGGGGGTTAATAGATGGAACTGATTATAAAGATGTCATCAAAATTTTCATATAAATCAAGTAATGGAAACGAAATTTTGCAAACTAGCATACCTAATGAAGTTGTCGAATTCATATTCTGTTCATGAACTGCCTGAAAGTCGATTCCAATCTCATTTCTCTCTTCGGATCTAAAATTGCAGCTGAGCCAAAAAAATATTTGACTGGAGAGTTAGTGAAGGAAGAATCGTCATTTTGACAGTGAATGAGTGACTGAGGTCACCAGTTAGAGACAACACCGCGATATCTATTAAATTATAGGAGATTCGCACGGGTGCAATAAGCTTAAAATCTGTAAATTGATGCAATTACCCGAAATTAGCTTATTACAAATAAACATGCTATCATCTCATGAATAAAAGGGTCTGCCAAAAAAAACGTCGCAGATAATAGAAAGCCGCATTATTCTCATTCTTTTTGAAGTTAACCCCAATTAAGCGGATTTAATATATTCATATTTTCAAAAAAGTGACATACTTAGGATAAGTTAAATTTGTGCTCAGGTTCGGAAGTAAAACTTGCACATCATTTCGATTTGTATTAGAGGTGTTGTCATTTGGTGTCGCGGAGCTCTGTTGTGGCATCGCAGGCAAAGTCGAAAGGTTACTCCCTAATTCTTGTTCCAAATCATCTAAATAGTGACAATGATTATTTTTAAGAGATTTAGCCAACAAAAATGCGTTAATATAAACACATAAATTTTTAGGGAATTTAATTTAGCAAACACGAAAGTGCTCTACCAAACATCTCTTTCATTTGCTGGTGCCTGTCCTCGAAATCCGAGTGATACATCTCGCAGTAATCTATAATTGTGTATACAAAATGAAGATATTTTTGTGAATTTGGGACAGAAATAATAAACATGGCTTGCCTGGTAAAAATTTTGAAACAAATTCATTTAACGAATCATTGGATGTCTTTGAATAAGAAGAAGAAGATTCCGATTTCGTCTCCAATTCGTCATTTGAGTTATTCTCCTTTGTCATTTTTGTTACTAAAACTTTGTACAAAACCTGTTAGGAAGTAAAGATTAATATCAAGTGTGTCAAATTCTCGTGAATTAATGAAGGTATTGGCAAATTGAATGATAAGCATTCATCCCGATTAAAACTCATTAAATCGAAGCTCTGAGATTCATTTATCAAAAGATTTCTCGAGATTCTTAATTTTGTTGCATTGAAAATTACGCTTTACTTGCTAAATTTAGTATATACGTTTAAATCAAGTTTAAATTGAAATTAAACTTGACGATCAAATTTTTGACGCTTTCTAGAATACTTCAATTTTGACTCCCAACCCAGGTAAGACTATGGCATTATTTTAGAGAATCTCTTGGGGATTATTGAAGACCATGTTCAATTCACCCTGTTTGCAAAAAAATAGCATATTGATTGCATTTTAAGATCTAACATTTTATTTCCTTTGCAGTCACACTAGCAAGCACAAATCGTTCCGTGTGGTCCATTTCCTTACTTTATCTTGACCCGGCTTGATATACTTCTACTTTCGAAAAGCCTTTCATACCCTTTTTTCAAATTTAAATGTGTTCAGCCGTTATGGGAACAAACTAATAGTCTTGAATAAATTAGTAAAGTATGACACGTTTATTACCGTTGCGAATGAAGTTTGTTACACCTTAAGGTCTTGAATGGTCTCTTGATTTAGGATTCCATTGCGTAATTGCAGTCTTACGCTTGAGGAAATTTGACGCAACACCTACGATTTTTATATTTCAGTTATCATGATGATAACTAAAGAATGTTTAAACACATTCATTGCTGAATCATTTCCCATTATTAGATATTACTTCATTTAATCAAATGTCGAAATAATAACGGTGAGTATAAGGACAAACTCTAGGATGCTAATCACTTAATGAACATGAATGGACAAAGATTAAGCATCTTTGTTGCTTTAAAATGGCATGTCAGAAAGTCCAAATTTAGGTTTAGAGTGATCAGTATTTACATGGATTTATAAACGAGATTTCAGCCAATATGTGAAGAATTCCTGCTAGATTGTTGAAATCAATCGATATGATCTAGATGAGCCAAGCCCGATTTTTAGCTTTCATGTAGACCTGCCTATTGTTTATATTTATTATTTATAGAAATTGGTTTAATAAAGCGTACGGTTCTTAAAAATAATTGGGGTTTGTTATATTAAAATAGGTGAAATGGTGGTTCTTGTATTTGTTTCAGCTTCAAATCACATAACTGTTATTCTTGGAGAATCCCAAGCGAACAACTTGTACCCAATAAGTACGAAAGTGATTTAGTCATGTTTTTAATCCCCTCACTCAGCAGACTTTTCTACTAGTTGTGTATGAGGTAAAATACTTTTGCAAATAGGCGAAATATAATGTTTTACTAGTTAGTAGTTAACGTATTTGGATACTGTCCTAAGTTAACTTATTTGATTATTTGATTGGAGAGAATTTACAATGAAAACAAATTTATGTCCATATAATAGTATTTGTCCTATATTGAAAATGTTAGTAATAGCAATATCAAATTATTCTAAATTATCATTGTAAAGTGGGTATGTAGAGCACAAATAGAAATTCATAGCTGAGAAGTTTAAAATACGGTTCATCAATCCATGGCATGCACAACGTAAAACATTAGTTCACTTTTAATGTGCCAAATGCGATTTTTAGCTAGTTACTTCATTAATATTGATGTCGATTTACCTAGAATTCATACACCTGAAATCTATATATCACATACATCAGTCGGTAAAAAAGATCATTTTTTATCATATTGCAGGGATTTGAGTTGATTGGGAGGGGTTTTACAAGAATGGGTCAAATGTTGATGCAATCTCACGTGAAAATAAAACATTTTGTATTAGTTTCAGGTTTTGTTATATAAGTGTGATAAAATTGGATGCACATATCTATGCAAATAATTATTAGTCTTCGTTTTGGTCATGTTACGAATAAATGAAGCTTCTGTACTTAATGAATAATTTGGACAATTACGACATTCACAGTAATTAATATTTCATCAAATTAAAAATTTGATACCTTAGTAATATCTGCTTTTTGATTCCAAATAATTACTAATTACCTGACTTTTTATATGTTATGACTGTGGGGTTTCGCTGTTTTTGCAAAACGTATTTGTTTCCCGGAAAAATAATTGGAAAGGAAAGCTGAATTGTGAAAGGTAAAGTGTTTGAGAACCCTTAATTTCAATAGTCTGGCGATTATTTTCTGGTTGCCATTTAGTTATTTAACTGCCAAACAATAGACAGATAGCGTTTATATAACAATTTAAGTCGTCGTAAAATACGATCAACAGGTGTCAATTGTTCCATTTTCTCATGCATAGGTTCTTTTGCCCCAATGTTTATATATTCAAGCTCGTTAAAGTAGGTTAGGGATATCGCATTGCTAGAGGTGCCAACTCCAATGACTTTATTGTTTGTATTAATATTTATTTATGATTCCCACAATTAATATTGTATTTTTTTGGTTATTATATTAAAATTTGGGGTGTGTGATAGACCTACCTCCACGTGTTGCACCCTGGGCAACGAATTCTTATACGGTAAAAAGACTATTATTCGGCAGTTGACTTTGTACTTCATGCAACAATGGCCCCACTGTATGTCATATACGACTACTTCCACAGTTCCCACTTCACTTTATTCTACCTTTTTGTCCCTCTCTTTTACATCTTTGGAACACATTTCTGTCCCTCCTTCCCTCTCACGACTTTTTTTACTTTGACGTTCCATCCTCTCTATGAAGACTGAAGTTTCAATCCAACATATTGAAATAGGTAATTTGCAGAAAATTGAATTTATCTTTAGCTATTTTTCTTTTTAAATCTTACAAACAAAAGTGCTACATAAGGTAAAACGCGCCCTAAAGAAACCGAAGCAAAGTATTAGAATTAATACGATTTGGCCTCTAGATGTAAGTACATTGCATATCTTGATATTGATCTGGATAAATTGATTTGAGTATATAGTTGGAGACAAAACTGAAAATAAAAACGTACCAAAATCCAAGTATAGTATTAGTGCCTCGTAATTTCCGACTTACTAATAGGATATTTAATAGTAATCTAATATGCGATTAGAGATATATTTGCACTTATTCTAGCACATGTTGGCACTAGCATACTTAAGCTTCTATTTAATAAGACACGTTATTTGCAGGAGATTCAAAATGAAAAGATATATGACTAAATGCAAATATGCATCCATCAAGATTCCCTACACTTGTGTATATCTCGATTTTAGTGTAATTATTGTTGTAGTTGGGCTTATTTGAAATGCGATTCAAGGTCAGCAATTATTATGGCATTAAATTTCCCTGGCAACGTATTTTAAATGTTTGCAACTGACAGAAGTTAATTATGGTCATGTTGCTTTTCGATTTGCAGTA